CTCACAGGCCACATAAGTTATGTGAAAAAAATAAAATAGTGAAAAAACAAGAAATCTTCAAATGCAAGTAAACCGAAGTTTACCGAGTGAGTGGCATTTGCCACTGTTGCCATACACAGCTCATTTTCTGCCAACTTTACTCCTCTATATCTTGGTAAGTACTGATTGCAAAAAAATTCTTTTGGGCTTAAAACAATCAGAAAATTAATCTTAACATTTTCATAAGAAAAATATTAGGAGACACTTCAGGATTTGGGGTTGTGACTGTCAGAGGCTTAAAGGGGTGGACCAATAAGCCAGTGGAAGGCCTTGATTAGATGACCAAAACCTCCAGTGGCAGGTCATCATCTGACTAAGACCTGCATCAGGAAACACTTGTCCAGTGGGCAAAATGTGAGTTGCTCAGGAGATAAGACTTATAAATAACCAAAGTTTAATATTGTAACAATAATACCGAAGTGGCTACAGAGTGTCAAAACACTGGGTTAAGGCCACTTGGGAGAAAGGATTAACTGTTTCAGACGAGACAATGTGACTTAATACCATGTGGTGGAAGGCTGGGCCAGACTAACTTGTATATGCTGTAAATACTTATCCATTGAATATATAATTATTTTTACAGACCAGTGTTTTAAATGACCTATTCTGAAAGGAGGGATAAGTTTTCTGAAATTGAGATGGTCTAACCATGAATGCAAGTATTCCCTTGGACTTTACAAGGCATTAATAAGCTACCCTACACCAGAGCATATAGTAAGAACTGTACCACTAAAGCTAAAAAAAAAGGGACAACAGTGTAACAACTGTCAACAAATTTTGGTGAGAATAACAAAAATTTTTGGAGATTAATGCATTGAGAAAGTCTAGGGAACGAATGTATTTAAGTTCAAAACAGAAGAGAGTTATTAGATGGGGAGTTGAAGGTATCAGATAAATCAAGGGAATATTTTGAGGACTATTAAATGTTGAAGAGAGAGAGCAGTTGTGACTTCATGCATAGGACAGGGAGGTATAACATCTTTCAAGAGCGAAGAAGAGCCAATTGTCTGTGTGGGGGAAGTGCATGAGGCTGTGAGTAAAATGAAATGAGGGTAAAGTGGATGGGATCAAGGGAATAAAGTTTTGGAATGCTTGGTATTTTAATTTAATAAATGTATAAAAGAGGGGAAGGTACCTAGAGACTAACAGAGTGCATGCATAGTTCTTTTGTATAAAGGCAAAGGGAACAAGTGTATAAAAATTATAGGTGAATAAGCCTATTGAGTATATCTGGTAAGGTGTATGGTAGTTATAACTGAAAGAATTAAGGGTAAGATAGAATGCAAGATCACAGATGACCAAGGAGGCTTTAGGAAGGGTAGTGGGTGTATAGGCCAAATGTTCACAGTGAAGGATATCAGCGAACAGTATTTAGATAAGGGCAAAGAAGTTTTCGTTGCATTTAAGGATTTGGAAAAGGCATATGATAGGGTGGATAGGGGAGTAATATGGCAGATGTTGCAAGTGTATGAAATAGGTGGTAGGTTACTTAAAGCAGTAAGAGTTTTTACGAGGATAGTGAGGCTCAGGTTATGGTACGTACGAGAGAGGGAGACTACTTTCAAGAAAAATAAGGTCTCAGATGTGTGATGTTACAATGGTTGTTTAACATATTTATTGATGGGGTTGTAAGAGAAGTGAATGCTAGGGTTTTGGGATGAGGTGTGGGATTAAACAATAATTGAACACAAAGTGGGAGTTATCACAGTTGCTTTTTGCCAATGACACTGTGCTTCTGGGAAAATCTGAAGAGAAGTTGCAAAGATTGGTGGACAAATCTGGAGGGTATGTAAAAGGAAATTATAAAAGAACATATGAAAGGGCAAGATGATGAGGATAACAAAACATTTAAATACTGAAGGACTGAATATCAGATTGGAAGCAGGGATTATGGAGGGAGTGAATGTGTTCAGATATTTGGGAATGAACTTGTCAGCAGATGGGACTATGAAAGATGAGGTGAACCATAGAACTGATGAGGAGAAAATGGCGAGTGGTGTACTGAGGCATCAGGGAAGACAAGGAATGTTATCCATGGAGACAAAAATGAGAATGTATGAAAATATAATGGTACCAACCCTCTTACATGGATGTGAAACATAGGTGGAGGCAATGGAGATGTCATGTTTTAGGGCAATGCGTGGTGTGAATATTATGTAGAGAATTCATAGTTTGGAGATTAGGAGGAGGTGCAAGGTTACTAAAAGTATTATCCAGAGGGCTGAAGAGGGGTTGAGGTGGTTTGGACAGTGAGAGAGGAAGGAGAAAACTAGGATGACTTGGAGAGTGCATAAATCTGTAGTGGAGGGAAGGCAGGGTAGGAAAGGATGAAGGGAAGGGGTAAAGGAGTTTTTGCATGAGGGCCTTGGACATCCAACAGACGAGTGTGAGTGTGTTAGACAGGAGTGGAGGCAAGTGGCTTTTATGACTTCAAAGTGCTGTTAGACTGTGTCAAATTTATGAAGGATTCGGGGAAACCAGCTAACTTGAGTCCTGGAGGTGGAAAGTACAGTGCCTGCACGCTAAAGGAGGGGTGGGAATATTTGCAGTTTTGAGCTGTAGTATCTGCATGCCAGACAGTTTTGGAGTAAATGGTGTAAGAGTTTCTTCTTTTCTTAGGTCACCCTACCTCAGTGGAAGATGGCTGGTTTGTTGAAAGAATATTACACATATATTATATATATGTATGTAATATATATACATGTATGTAATATATATATATATATATATATATATATATATATATTATATATATATATATATATATATATATATATATATATATATATATATATATATATATATATATATATATATATATATATATACACACAATACATACATATGCAAAACAACCACTCTGAAAGAATAGAGAAATTCCAAGCGCTTTCGTGACTACTCACATCATCAAGTTCCTTGATAATGTGAGTAGTCACGAAAGCGCTTGGAATTTCTCTATTCTTTCAGAGTAGTTGTTTTGCATATTCTGAAATCACCTGTTTACTGTGATCTTATTGCATATATATACATATATATACATATATATACATATATACATATACATACATACATACATACATACATACTACATATCAATAACAACACTGCGATTACCCAAAGATTTGAACCCATGCTGCTTTGGCCCATCTTATGGTGAGCAAAAACCCATGATGCTCTAACCCACAGGACCACGCAATCCTGCATGGTCCTGTGGGTTTGAGTGCCATGGGCTTTCACTCACCATGAGGTAGGCCAAAGCAGTATAGGTTCGAATCGCTGGTTAGTTGGTGTTGTTAATCAATACCACTTGTTCGTGGTCACAATAATATATATATATATATATATATATATATATATATATATATATATATATATATATATATATATATATATATATATATATATATATATATATATATATATATACATATATGTATATACAGTGGACCCCCGGTTAACGAACTTTTTTCATTCCAGTAGTATGTTCAGGTGCCAGTACTGACCGAATTTTTTCCCATAAGGAATATTGTGAAGTAGATTAGTCCATTTCAGACCCCCAAACATACACATACAAACGCACTTACATAAATACACTTACATAATTGGTCGCATTTGGAGGTGATCGTTAAGCGGGGGTCCACTGTATATATATATATATTAGGGCCCCGCTTTATGGCGTTTCACCTTATGGCATTCCGCTAATACGATGTCAAATTATAACCAAAATTTGCTATATGGCAAGTGGTCTTTTAAATACGGCGCGCCCCACCCGGTTTGTTTACATTCTTCATGACCACATCTATTATGTCTGGAAACTTTCCAAAATTTCAAGTGTTTTAAAGTTATTGTGTATTTTATATGTACTCTGATAATTATAATTATGTGTACCTGTACCTAAATATACTTACACACTGTGCTGGTGTGCAGGTACACATTAAAATTGGTAGGTGTAGCCCAGGCGGGCTACACCTACCGGCTACCTACACTGACTTCATACAAATAAATACTACTCACCTTTCTTCCTACACATATTTTAAGGTGAATAATGAGCGTACTGTATGTGTATTTTAACTCTCTGGGCTGTTTTAAATATCATATATTAAGTATGAGACGGGGAGCCAGTGCTACGTACACCTGACTTCCTACAAATAAGTACTACTCACCTCTCTCCCTACATTAAGATTACAAATACTCTAAGTAATAAATGTACTGTGTATGCATTTTACTTTTTGTGTTTTTAATGCCTAGTTCTATTAATAACTTAATATAAGTTAGTGTAAACTTGTTGTCTGGCATTTATATGAATTTATAAATGGAAAATATGGTGTTCTGCTTTCCGGCGATGTCTGCTTTCCGGCAATAGCCTGGAACCTAACCCGCCGTATAAGTGGGGCCCTACTGTATACACACACGTGTATGATGTATATACACACAGACAGACAGTATATGCATACACATATACATGAAGATGCTCCAACCACTGATTACAGAATATATGTAGTATATATGCAATTACAACAAGATAATTTCATTCATTACATGGTCCATTTAGTGTCAATGACATAATACAAATGCAGAAAGAGAGAGAGAAAGCCTGATGATGTGCCACTAATAATTCCATTGAAGCATCATTCTGTAAACTTGTCCCATCTCATGTGCATGCTCATCAACTCATTCCTATCACTAAACACTGGCTACGAGTCCCTACCAACGCATACCATTATGCAAAGAAACGAAAACACAGATACCATTTCCTTTTGATTTTACCTATAATAAAAACAAAATAAAATCAAATAAAATACAAAACATACATGATGGAGCAGCAGCACAGCTAAATGAAACGATCCCAAGCATGGGTGCCCACATAAAGAATCTAAAGAGGCAGCAACTGATTATAAATAAATTATAAAAAACCCAAGTCAATGCAGGAAAGAGGAAGTGGGAGGTGAGCACTGACTTACGTCAAACAGCAAAGTTGTTCCTCTTGCAACCTTAGGTCCTTTAGAAAACTGTAGAAAAAAGATGGCAGAGATTAACTGCAGCATGTAACCAAGTCAAACCTGGCCAGCATAAGGTAAGTAACTGCAGACATGTAACCAAGGCAAACCTGGCCAGCATTAAGCATGGGCAAATCTTAGGACTTTCCATTGAGGTTAAATACCAAAAAAATAGGTCAACTGAAAAAACTGCCTTACTTAATAAAAAAAATCTTAATATTGCTGCAAAGTTAACAAAAATGTACAAAAATATAATACTTAATTATAAGCATAAATAAATTTGTTTGTAATGTTTTGCTACAACTAAAAAGTTTAGGCTATATACAGATGTTTATTTTCCATCAATAGAAGGTTGTAAACTATGATGTTATTATATTATTACTACTGTACAGTACAAACCTCAATTTAACAGAGTTCAGAAATACAAGACAAAATCTGAAGAGTCAGTTGATTCAAAAACAAAGAACACAGACTATTGGCTAGGCAACTGTCCATTATTTTTACGGTCAAGGCAAGAGAATCTAATTTCTAAAGGCTGCAATTACCATTACCACCCACCCGCTTCCTAAAATTACTCCATTAAATAGAGGATTTACCGTACAGTATTCATGAATTAAAATAAGTGTAAATGCTATGGGCTATATAACCAAGTTCACAATTAATTGATAATAAGGGCATCCCAGGCTTTGTTAAATGTGCTCCAGACCCGTGACTGCTGTACTAATCTGAATTAATACTTAATTCTTCATTAAATAAATAAGTAAATAATAACTGCTGTTACCGAATAAGTAAATAAACAAATAATTACTGTAACTAAATAAATACCAGTATTGAAAAGTAAATAAATGAATAGAAGTTGTGGACTTGTCACCTTCATGCTGGGTAATTATCTTAAGTTTCACCTCCATCACAAAGTCAAAATATCGTAAGTGGAACCATCACAAGTTGAGGAACACCTATATGAGCATCTTCATTGTGTGTTACAATCCACACTGATAGCATATCAGTGAATTTGTATCACATATAGGAAATTATTGGTATAGAGGAAGTATCTGGGTACGAGAGGGTATAAAATACTGACAAGAGTGAGGTAAAACCTGTCTTATTTCACAACTGTGGTTTTCTGTGGTTCTATGTAGGACTGCAGAAGCCATTCATGGCAAAATATTTCCTCAATAAAATATTCTAACATTGCACATGTCTGTCTGTCTTTTTTTTAACACACCGGCCATCTCTCACTGAGGCAGAGAGACCCAAAAAAGAAGAAATGTTAAGTTTTTATTCATTTTACATTCAGTAATTTATACAGGAGAAGGGGTTACTAACCTCTTGCTCCTGGGATTTTAGTCACCTCTTACAACATGCATGGCTTACAGAGGAAGGATTCTGTTCCACTTCCCCATGGAGAATATGTGTCTTATTTCACAATAAAGAAGGGGGCACTGCATCAAACTGAATTTTCCTAAATCAAAACTACATAAAGTGATGGATAAATAATTTTTATGAGTATCTTAGAAGTACCGTCAAAAAGTCGTTAAATTATCATAGGTAATGTAGTTTTTTATTTAACATCATTAATAGCTTTTATCCAACAACTGAATATTTCTAGGAAGCCTGGAGTTTTCTTGCCTGTTGTCATATTGTGCACAATATTATCTCCAGCAACACTAGAATTTCCAACAAATCTCCTTAAAATTCAAATTACTTTTTTCTGTGATACAGAGATGATGTAGTTTACACATAAAACATTGTTGGGTACAAAAGAGAGCCACTAATATGCAATGCATTTCAGGATAACTAATACTAATGTTAAAAGACATCTTAAGAATTTTACTCTGCATGTGACCCGCCACAGCCTGCTAACACGCAGGTTCCTATTTTTATTGAAAATACTAGTAACATTCCAATTTTTCAAGCCTCTGAATAATTTTTTTTTTTTTTAAAAAATACTCACAAAGCAAAATAAATTATAGGGTGATATTAAGATTTCTAATATTTACCAAAATCATGTAGCCAGAATTCACATTAAAAGTATCACTGGATTATGCAAACTCACTATTATACAACTTGCCATTTCTGTGGGTAATTTTGTATGAGCAAAATACAGTTGCTGTATTCAGTGTGGTTCAAAAGAAACTAAAGATTTTTTATGTAGATTTAAGTATTAATGGAATAACTAAGTTTTAGTACAGGTGTCATTAGTCTGGAACCCATCTATTGCATAACCTAAGAAGCACCTGAAGATTAAGTGTTGAACTTTGATGTCTTAAGAGTTAACACCACAAGCAGAATTAATACAACAAATTCTGCTTGAAAATAAAATCTTTCTTTCAATGCACCAGCCATATCCCACCAAGGCGGGGTGGCCCAAAAGGAAAAATGAAAGTTTCTCCTTTTAAATTTAGTAATATATACAGGAGAAGGGGTTACTAGCCTCTTGCTCCCAGCATTTTAGTTGCTTCTTACGACACGCATGGCTTACAGAGGAAGAATTGTTCCACTTAAACAAGAACAAGAACTAGTAAGACAAATGTAAGAAAACCCAGAAGGGTGTGTATATATATGCTTGTACATGCATATGCAGTGTGACCTAAATGTAAGTAGAAGTAGCAAGACGTACCTGAAATCTTGCATGTTTATGAGACAGAAAAAAGACACCAACAATCCTACCATCATGTAAAACAATTATAGGCTTTCGTTTTACGCTCACTTGGCAGAACGGTAGTACCTCCTTGGGTGGTTGCTGTTTACCAACCTACTACCTAGGAAAATAAAATATAATTTTTAAACTCCAAAAACTTCCCTGATATGTGACGTACATTCATGGACAAAAATATGTTTACATGGTAAGACTTGAGAATTGTTAGAATACAACTCACTAATGCAGTAATAAAAGACACGTGAGTGACAGCTTCCTACATGACTGTAACACAAATTTTGACCATGACTGTTCCTAAAGGTGTTAGTATTTTTATTTTCAGAATTAGAATTTTATTTATAAAAAATACAGCACTTCCGGTATGCGCTGTGTTAACAAATACCGTATTCAGTGCTTACGAGTTTCAGATAAATTATAAAATATGATAACATAAACCCCAAAGACTGGACTAATCCACCTGATATCTGTCTAGCAGGTCATCATATAATTAAGACTTACATCGGGTGATACCCCCTAACAAATAAATTAACACAAAATTTTCTGATACCTTGTGGAATCACACCTCCCATAACTTAGTAGCAAAGCAGGTTTTCTGAGTGACAGGGTGATCATCAGGCTGTTGGTGCTTCTTGCTGCAGTCCAAAGGACAACAACACTCTTGAAACAAGACCTGAAGCCAGATTTCATTGCTACCTGCCTGGTCAAACAGGCTGTTGCTGCTAGTAATCCACAGGCTTACACATCTATCATAATTTGGATGATCTACCATTTATTGCAGAAAATGGAACAGTTTTCTTTTGAAAATCTCTCTCAATGTTCTAGAACTATTTCTTAGTGATGGTAAAAGGCTGAAGTCTTGGAAAATAGATACAGAGAATGATGTGGGAAAAGAAAGGATCACCTTAGTTGCCATAAACAACCAGATTAAAAAAGGTAATTGCAAAACAACCTCATTCTACTGTAAGAAACTACCGACAGGTTGAAAGAAAAAAAATAGATAATACAGTAAGTCAAGTCCAGATAATTTCAATATTAAAGATCAAGTAATAGGATATAACCATACTGAACAATATGAGAAAAACAAAACAGGCCAATACACCCTTCATTCAGGTCATATATATGAAACAACTGCTGGAAAGTGTTAGAATACAAGAAAAAATCAGAAGCAACCATAAAACTAAATAACAAAAGACAATATTTTTGGGGAGAAAGAGGATACTACCCTCCTGACTGATGCTATCTTTAACTTAGTAACCCCTTAACTGTGGCATACCCAGAATAAAAATTCCTATATGTGAGGCAAGATTTTAAAAAATATATATTTTTCTTACAGAATGAAAAATTATTTTTATGAATCAAATAAGACTAAAATGAGTGGCATCTGATCAAAACTTATGATTTCATAGTGTGCTGAACTGAAAATATGAGCTAGCAATACAGGGGACCCCTGGTTTACGATATTTCATTCCAGAAGTATGTTCAGGTGCCAGTACTGACCGAATTTGTTCCAAAGGAATATTGTGAATTAGATTAGTCCATTTCAGATCCCCAAACATACACATACAAACACACTTACATAAATACACTTACATAATTGGTTGCACTGGGAGCTGATCGTAAACCGGGGATCCACTGTATTTGTTTCACAATTTATTAATGCCAAGTTATGATTGCTTTCCAGTTTTTTAATGTTTAATGTACTATGCATGCTAGTTTCTTATATTAAATGTGTTTCAAGATGTTCTAGCACTTCAAACATAGAAAAATGCTGCACTTGGAATATACAGTATAAACTGGTGAAACAATTTGTTTTTGTTTATTCTTTTGTTTTACTACTTTGATCTTCTAACACTACATACAAGGAATACTTGTATATTATAGTTGTTTCAAAACATGGAAATAAGTCACATTGTTTGACTATATTAGGTTGTCCTGGGTTAAATCTATTTAGTGTACTTTGTGGCTGAATTCCACTGTTAGTATTATGAAACTGAAATAAATCTGGAATGAATATATGTCTATGCCACTTACACACACTCTTTGCTGGAAGAGAAGCATGGTGGTGGAACAACAGCTCCTAATTTCATTGTTTACCTATGCTAATTAGGCATACTAGTATGTCGGATACAGTCATCACCTGTATAGTTAACAATGATACACTATGAGGGCCCTCCTGGCCTTAGATTTTTTCAAAGGTATGAAAAGATTGTAGAGGTCAAAAATATTGGCAGGTGGCAGATTGGAAAGTATGAAAAACTGTAAAATTGTGCATACTAGTACACTGAACACACAACTGTCAGTTGTGTACTAGAACACTGGACACAGTCTGGCAGAAACAGAATAGGGGGAAAAA